TCTGGATCCAGTTGCTCTGCTCATCTGTACAGGGCTAAAAGACATGAAAACAAGGTCCCCCTCCACAGAAAAGCCATTGTTGGAGGGTTAGAGGTAAGTAGGGGTGTGTGTGTGGGGGGGGGGGTAGATAGCTTGCAGGCAGAGTTTGAAAAAAAAACCATCAGTATTGCAGTTAAACTGGTAATGTTATGGGGATACTGGTTCACATGCTTCCACGTATGTGCACCACCCCCTTGCATGCCCCCTGCCCCCACATGCATGAACCCACCAGCTGCCTATTTTTGGCTTCCAGGTTGGTGCATGAGGCTTTCCAGGCCCAAAATGGGGCACAGGTGTGCCCTCACCCCGTTTTGGCTTCCAGGATGGTACAGGAGGCCTTCCAGGCCCAAAACAGGGTGCGGGGGTGCACGCACATGTGAGAACCCCTAAAATGCAATGTGAGTACCTCATGCACATGCGCCCCCTTGTGCATGTGCATTCGCCACATGCGTCCCGCCACCCACCCATGCAGAGCAGAGACCCAAAGACCAGCTAGCTGCTGGGAGGCACCCGCACATGTGGGGTGAAGCTGGGCTGGGGTGACAACTGGCGTGCCTGCAGAAAGGGCTCTGCATGCCACCTGTGGCATGCTGTGCCATAGATTCACCATAGGGAATATGGTGAAATGTAGGCCAGAGCTTCGGGAAGGAGAGGCTCTCTTTCTCAGGGCGTTTATTTGTGAAACTTGTTAATAGTCCATTTCTGTTAGGGAGATGTGTTTCTGTGTTGTGTCATTTCCAAGACTTGGGACAGGATCAAGACCCTCTAATAACAATAAACAAAAAGGCATTATTAATTATTTTACTTTTTAAAAAAAGGATTTGGAAAAATGGAGCTTATTAGCTTGTGAAAGCTCCCTAAAATAATGATAATAATGATTGGTTTGCCTGGAGAAAGTATGAAAGGAAATATTTGTCTGTGGATTTTTTATGCAAGCAGTTTGAATGGAGGATAAATGTGTAAGTATGCTGCTGTGTAAATGCTTGTGTGTGTTGGCTCCCTATCCCCAGAATGTGAAAGGGGTAATTTTTCGATTCCCTTTCTTATAAGGAAACCCAGAAAGTTGCCCAATTATTATCACTAGCTGATTGGGGTGTGTATGTGTGAAGGCTAAGATATTAAGACAAATAGACTTAACAACTGTCAGGATGAGACCATATTATTTGCTATGTAGCTGTGCTCTTCCCATCCACCTATAATTATACCTACATTACCTGAAAGAAAGATTAGAAACCATAGGGACCTTGAACAATCCAGAAAGTACCTGAAGAACTACCAACCCTTTACTTTGTTCCATGGGCTCTGGTCCCTCAATAATGCTCTGTATCATATACAAGCAGTGGAGGAAATCCTAGATAATGAGACTGGGGAGTTTTTATTGCTGCATCAAAAGAACAAGAAGCCATTTGGACAATGACAGTTCAGAATAGGATGGCTCTAGATATGACATGATATAAGGATGTGTATGTTCACTACTTGGACAACAATGCTGTGTGCGTATTCTGGACAAATTGGAGGAATTCTACAGCTGAACTACACACATCACAAAGATAGGTGCCACACACCCACACCCCTGGACGAATGGAAAGACTGGTGGCATTGACTGACAGAATGGTTGCCTGATTTCTACTGGTTAAGAACCTAATAATGACCCTGGCAGGCACAGTTATTGTTCTCTTAATCACCTCTTATGCATTAAAATGCCTTCTGTTTTGCCTTTCCATCTGTAAGCAAACTACGGGGTCTCTCACTACACACATATTGATGTTGGGTGAATCTTGGAAAATTAGACCATTTTCAGATTCAAAGTGGGGGGAATGATGGGCTGGCTGCTAAAGCAAGGTCATGGCACACACTTGAAAGTAAATCAGGAAGACTCTAATTGTGGGGTATGTCTGGCAAGAACAAAGAATGCTTATCAACAGGAAATATGCAAGTTTGTAGCAATTATGGGTAGCTAGACAACTGGCAGACCTCAGCTAAAACTTAGGAATGGCCTGTAGCAAATGAAATGTGTATTAGATAACTTTTGGGGCATTCATTAGCCAAGGCTTAGGAATAGGGACAGCTAGAGACCAATAGAACAAATTGTAGAATTGTTACTAAAGTATTTATTAGATTATATTTCTTGCTAACTCACCTTGTCCCTCCTCCTCCTTTAGTGAAAATGTATAAAACTTACTTAAACCTTTGTTCTTGGTTCTTGGCCTTTGGACCAGGAACCCGTTTTTTCTTGGGGTACTCCAATAAAAAGCAATCAGAAAACCTGCACTTCATGTCTGGCGTCCATCATTGGCTTCGGCACCAGGCTCAGACCCGAATTGGGGACAACAATCTCTTCAAAAATATTTTATAATGTAGTAATATCCCTAAGTATTATATCTAACAATATATTATAGATCTCAATTGTTATATACAATAATTGTATATACTAATTGGGAAGATCTTAAAATTAACTTAATGTAAAAGAGAAGCATTAAAAATAATTATTTTTTTTATTCTGTATTGTTAGAGAGCACACATGTTACATTTACAGTACCAATAAAATATTTATTCACTGATGTATGATAAAAAATAATGGACCAGAATTCACTTGCTTTTTTAGCACTGTGGAATCTTAAACTCTCATTTATCACCTACAATCCTAAAATGTGCTAAACTATGATTTATTTAATCTAGTGTCATAAAAACACCCTGTTTTGTCTTATACACTGAGCCACACTTTATTTCAAAATGTATTACTTTCCATTGTAAACTAGAAAAGTATATAAGAGAATAGGATGCTTTTTAAAAGCTTTTTAAAATGGTAATCAAAATAGTGGTTTAGAATAACAAAATTCCTCCACCAATTGATGTTATTTATATAAAATACATATACTTGTTTTCCTTGAGGCCCATGTGCCTGCTTTTACCAAACTACCACAGTGTCTTCTTTAATTTTAGTCTATCTAAGCTGTATACCTTTTTTCTATCATTCTGGTAACTGCTGGAAATATTTCACACCCCTGTCCCACACTGTGAAGAGTTATTCCACTTATTTATTAAATTATTCCATTATATTCATGTTATCCTATATACAGATTTGAAATAGTTTTTAATTACTGAAAAGTTATATTTAGCTACTTATTTTGGAGTGTTTTTCATCTTTGCAATTTTTGCCATAGATATGATCTAGCACAGTGTTTCTCAACCTTTTCAACTTTTAAGATATGTAGATTTCAACTCCTAGAATTTCCCAGCCACTTTCAAAAGAGCACTTAAATCCATCTTGAAAAGTAGCCTGAAGAAAAGCTTTTGGAATGGAACACCATTCTAAGCATCCATTTTCACCCACTCCTGATCTCTTCCATGTTACGAAGAGTACTTGTTTTCTATGGGCATCAACTTTTCTCAGACTGATAAAGGGAACTTTTCTACTAGATCTGGAACTGGGAAATAGCACATGGACTTGGCTACCCAATTCTGCAGAGAGTAATATCAGAGGTATATATTCCCTGGTTTCTCATGTCAAGGGGAATTGCCACTCTTTCTTAACACAATTCATATGAATGCTGAGTGGCCAACCCAATCTCAGTACAAAGTTGTAGACTTTTACCACCATGAAACTGGAGCCAATTGTCACTGGGTGAATTTTGCCCATTGAGAATCTACACAGCCTTTCTAAAAGCATCCTCTCTTGATATCTGGGTATCCTAATTTGTAATAGGTACCTAGACATTTTGGAATATGTGGTTGGATGAGGCTTTATTAGTGACTGCTGTTTGAGAAGGAGAGTAACATTCAGAATAAAATCAAAAGGCTTCACCATTCAAGCTGTTGCAGAAAATGACAGGTGTTAGACTTCTCAGGATACAGGAAAAGTTTATTTGGCAGCCAGGTTCAGAAAGCTAGCCCACGGCTTAGCATTGCAAGTTCTGAACAACCTTAATTATCAAAGCACACATTCTTATACATTCCCAAAAGCAGTGCAACACGGAAATTCTTAACA